GCTTTCAATGTTACAGAGAGAAAATAGACAAGTTCATACAAAGACTCTTATCTAACTCTAAGTAATGTCACTATTTATAGGAAACATGAAAGCACACAAAAAATTACAAGGACTAAACAAGTACGCTTTGTTACATAAATTTCTTGTAAAATAAACTTATGACTTCGACATATTACAACAGGTCTTCGACCCTTACAGAAGTATGAAAATAAATACATGTTTTTAATTAATCAAAAGCAATCACACTGTTGTAAAAGAAATACAAAATAAATTGTATATAATTGTTTGAATGGTTATTGTACTTTTATAAGCTATCGATCATGAACGAACATGATGTGTATTATATTAACAACAAAATTTTTACGTGTTTTCTTATTTTTCAAAATATAATTTAATTTGTTTTGTATAAAAAATACCAATAAATTATTGCATTATATACAAATGATTATTAAAGTTAATTGTTTCTTCAAAAATCACCAACTCAATAATATGTACAAATACTATACTTTGTTAGTGTTTTCTGAACAAACGGTAAACTTTAATGGTTATATGCATGGTTCTAATTGGGTATGGGCAACACCCATACCCACCCATAACAATACCACGTCACCATCTTCTCCCCACAACGAGATTAAAGGATGGTGTTTAAGATGCATAACGGCGTTGAGAGAAGAAAAGCAGAGGAAGAGGAGAGAAAAAACGGGGCGTTGTCATCCGTCGTCGTTACAACGAGACTTATCTTAACGGGAGTTGGAGATGGTGTTTCCGATGTTATGCCGACGTTTCGGGTGTGCCACATCAGCCTTAACGCGGTTGTAGTGACCCATACCGCATGGTCTAAAAGGCGTGCAATGACACAAGTTCGTTAAGCGTGACATCAAAATTGCGTGTTAATGTGCGTCTTATCGTGTTATGGCGCAATTTTTTTTTTCAAAACGTGATTTTTTCTTATCGGACGTGAAAAAATTGATTTTTTGTTATTTTTTTTCATATTAAGTGTTGATATGACACTTTTAAAAAATTGATATATTTGATATAATTTTATAATTATACGATTTCATCTTTTTAAAAATATATAAAAATGTCAGTTCTCGAAAACATAATGACATATGGCTTGAGGCTTAACCTTACGGTCATATCATTGGAAAATTGGTTTATTTGTGTACAAGTATATAACTTATTGATATTTTTACACAAACAAAATTAAATAGTAATTTTATATGATGTTAAAGCTTTGTTATTCTTCTAAAAGTAAATTTTCCTTTGAAAATTAAGATGTTAAAAAAGAGGTAACTAGTCCTTTACTCCTTTATGAACTCATAACACGAAAAATCTCAAATTATGTTAAATATTGTAAACCTGTTAAAATATTTATGACAAGATAAAAATGTGATTCGATCATCATAGAAATAAAATAATAAAATAAGGAGGGCGAAATGACTGCACCTTTTGTTTGTCTTTCCCGGGGGGGGGCCTTTTTGAAAACTTTAAAACTATTATAATAATAATAATAGCTACGTGTTGGAATCTTATTGGATTTGATATAGTGGACGTTAATATCACTTACTGGCACAATACCACGTGTTGATATGACAAGTGCACAACGATTACACTGTATTTCCAATAACATACAACTTCAACCCTTCATTAATTTTGTACTTCTCATTTATTTCCCCCTTTTATATTAAAGCACATCTTTGCCCCCTGTAGAATCTCGATTTTTAACATTTTATCCTTTTTGTCCTGGATGTGGTATATTATATAATTCTTTTGGGACAGTAAACTGAACAGATATGACCACTGAAGACCAATGTCATAAAACACGATTGTACTACTCCGACCAAATTTGATATAAAAATTATAAACGGTTTACATTCTTTTTAAAGAAAATTACTATTATCAACCACAAGTGTTTGCATTTGGTTAAAAAAGGGAAATTACATCTGAAAATGTATTTTTTTTTTCAATTCATATATTAATGCATTTATAGTAGCATACAAGATAAGTTTATAATCTAATGATCAAATCTAACTATTTAAGCAGGTAAATCCAAATTACTAGGTGAAAAATATTGATTATTTAAATAGACCAAGTTAATTAGATGGTAATGGATCTATATCTCTTATAAAAGAGTTATAGAACACAAAATTTATTAAAATTTGAAAGACAATGGGTAGCTTAACAAAATTACAATCAGAAGTGTAAAAGTATATTTATGTTAAACCATGTTAATTAACATGTTAGTTTTTTAATGCACTAGACATTCTTATTATTTTAATTTTAAGCTAACTCTTCCACTTTCAAACACATTTTTTATAATATAATATTGTGTTACACTGAAAAAAAATCAAAAGATGTTTTAGAATTAATATATGTATTTTTTAAAAGGTAGTTTTTTACACAACAGACAAATATATTAGAAATAAAAAAGCAAATAGAAAGTTGGACAAAATTACAAAAAGTTTGAATTCAAAATATAAGATAACAGGACCTAAAACTAGCTAATACATAAGGTAAGCTGAAGGAGGCCAACCACCGTACACATCATCCCGGAAATCTCACGCGGTGATGATCTGGAGTCACATTCATGGCCTCATGTAGTCATGCGGAAGAAAGAAACCAATTGTGGGTATTTGAAAAAGCCATCATTAATGTGGAGTTTAAAAATCATCATACATATACAATGTTAAAATTATTTAAGTGTAATAATAGTTAAAAACTACATAGTTACATTGACATTATTCATAATATTATGAATGCAAAACTCATGGCTAAATAACATTCAAAGTGTATGGTTATTTATCTTAAACTACATTAATTTGTAAATTACGTTTACATTAAAAAATTGTAAACATATATATAAGCATTCCCTATTCTAGTTAATAAATATTTCTCTTGTCATAATGTTTTAAATTATATGTTTAACTTTTTAATAATGTATATTTATTAATATTTAAAATTACAAAATTCTATTTTTATCAACACCGGCATTCATCTTGTTTTTAAGTAACTAAAACCTTGTTCGACAACCCTTTTCAAAGCCATAAGCTAATAAATAATACTTTAGCAATTGTTCAAATTAGTTTTGATAAATAAAAACCCTTTCAAAAAAGTAAACTTTAATTATAGATATTAGATAATGTCAACTTTTTCATAGTTTGCAAACACAAAAGTAAGATTTATATGTTTTACTTTAAATTTAGGGTATCGACCTAATATAACACGTTCTTTGCACTTTGGTTCTAACGTTTAAAATGTGTAAATCTTAATTAAGGTTATGGTCTGAACCATAAATTTGCAATAAGACCTGTTAGTGTTGATGCTTAAGGGTGACAAAATACCATTTTTAATATAAATTATGAATCTGAATTATAATCCCATGTTACTATAAAAATCGTTTTATTAAATAGTTGACACAGACTATTATAAGATCAAATACAGAAATACTTCAACTTCATATAGTACATTATCTTAGGCTCTGTCGTTTTCACTGAAAACTCAGTGTACATGAAAATGATGATTATTTAAGGTAAGAAAATCATGATAGATTTTGAATTAAAAAGTTATAAAAAAAATGTAGATAGATATCTTAATGCTAAAAAGTTTTTTTTTTTATCAAATACTATAAAACTAACTTTTACAGCTTCAGTCCATAATATCATACAGCAAAAATTGTACGTATAAAAGCAAAAAAGTAAAATAATACAAATAATAACAATATATAGAAAAGAAATCCTATGATTTGGACCTGTCATGAGCCGACACGTGTGATACCTATTTAAGGTTGGTGACATATGTTGATGTATTTTATCTGTAAAAACTAATAATTCACCATTGACTCAACGACGCGCTCACCTCAATCACTTACTCTAACAAGCGTGTTAAACACGCGCTGTATTGCGAGTGGGATTCGTCCCCGTGAGATGATGCTTGCTTGTGTTTCTCAAATAGGTTAAAAAGCATGAAGCTTTGAAGATGCAAACAACACCAACCCTAAATTTCATTTCTGGGTATCAAATATGAAAGAAAAAAAGTCTTGAAAACCCTAAATAGAGAGAATCCGAGATTCAATCCACGACCCATCTCTGTTCGTGTGTGTGTTTTTTCTCAAAAATTTCAAGATTTTTTTTCTTGTATGATCTTGACGCAACATCACTACAAGTTTCTTTTTTTCTTTATTTCGACTTCAGTATTGATTTTGATTCGGTTTTGGGTGTTGAAGAACTTCAAGATTTGGGTTTCTTGTTGGTGAAATCTTGAAGAGATATGGGGAGGGGAAGAGTGGAACTGAAGAGGATCGAAAATAAGATAAATCGGCAGGTGACTTTTGCTAAAAGAAGAAATGGACTTCTGAAGAAAGCCTATGAACTCTCTGTTCTTTGTGATGCCGAAGTCGCTCTTATCATCTTTTCGAATCGTGGGAAACTTTATGAGTTCTGCAGCACCTCCAAGTACACATCTTTACTCTGTGTTTGTTTTTGTGTGTGTTTCTTTTTGCAGATCTGATGTGGGTTATACGTTTCTTGATGATCATGGATTTAGATTCTTTTAAGCTTTTTTAGTGATTTGATATAACACCCACAACTTGAATAACTAAATGGTTTGTGTTTTAACAAGTTTAAGGTTTTCTCTTTTCGAAATTTTATAGTTCAGGGTTGAAATTAGGTTTAGTAATCTAAGACTTGAGTAGATCTCATGTGTTTATGAAGTAAAAACAAGAAATTGGGAAGAATGGTACTTTTGATTTTGGTTTTTAATTGGAAATGAATTATCTTTCGGGTCTTGATTGATATGATCCAGTTTCGCAACAAAAGTAAGGCTTTTTTATATTTTAATGTGAGTTTTTTCGCATCAAAATCGATGAATCGTTGTTGTTTTTAAGAATCTAACTACATTTATCAATAGCAATCATCACCGATCTTTACCTTTTGTTAACGATCTTAATTTCGTTCTAAATCCTGTTCGTTTGATCGGTTTCTTTTTCGTTGTTGTGTAGAATTAATTGGTGGTTATTAGATTTTGTGGGGATTAGAGCTGAGAGTTCATTGAATTCATAGACTGAAGAACAAAATCTTTACCAAATTTTCTCTTGGAACCCTAATTTTCAGCACAATTTTCAAAGACAAAATCATCCAATCATAGATTTTGTTTTGTCCTTTTCTCATTTCAAATCAATGTAACATGCTTTTTGGATTTGGGAATTAATAAGATGATTTAGCATATAAAAATCTTTGATCATTCTAATAAACCCTAGCTACTCGATCACTACCCACTTTATCTAGTTCATGATCATGGCTAGTGGACTTTTTCTCTTTTATATTATTTTAAAATTTTCCCCTATTTATAGAGACTAGAGTTGTGTATACTGTTTAGTAAAAAACGTGACTGATTGAATCATGGGTTTTGAACTTTTGATATTGAAGAGTCGAATCGATACGTACACACTTTATTTTATTTCAAGTTTGACAAATACAAATATGTTAATATTAGAAGATGCAAGTTAGATTAGAAGGTTTAATGGCATTGCATTAAATAAAACATGGATCTTATATGTCTTAAAAAGGTATGATATTTAGATGATCATAATTTTGTGTTTTTGCAATGATATGATGGATCATGTCCTATATACTATAATAAACATTTGAAACAACATGAACCAATGGATCTTTATAGGACAAAAATCCATAAAAGTGAATAATTATTTACGACTTTTCATGTCTTAAAGTGAGTTAATTTCAAGAATCGAATGACTTCACCCTTCGATTAGAAACTTAATTTTGATATACTCTTAGACCAATTTTAACATAAAATAAATGAACGCTAATGAGATATTTTCTTTGTTATAATTTTATTGTATCTCAGTATGCTCAAGATGCTCGAAAGGTATCAGAATTGCACTTATAGTTCAATGGAAGTGAACCGGACTGCTAATGATGCCGAGGTATATATTAAATTATTTTCTAATTCTATGAAAAACACAGTCAGTTATTTTGGATTAGCTGTCGTTGTAATCCTGTATTTAAATGTTTCTTAGCACTTTAACCATTTTTATTCTTTCGTTACTCTTAGCTAGTTCTTATGATATATATTTTGTTTTCGAATACTAAAAAGTTCATTTTATATTTGTGTTGTGAACGTTATTTTATATCATATCAATGGGATCCAGACGCGTATCTTTACTATATACACGTCTTTACTATATGCGACTCTCATATTCTAAATGGTTTATTCTTTTGATATTTTAGCAAAGCAGCTACAAGGAATACATGAAACTAAAAGCCAAATACGAGTCTCTACAACAATACCAAAGGTAATTAGTGTTTTTGTGACTATAGTAAAGATCTAATTTGTACTTATTTATTGAGGCTAACAACATTCTTATCATAGGCAACTATTTGGGGAAGATTTAGGGCCACTAAATCTAAAAGAACTCGAGCAACTCGAGCGCCAACTTGACTCCACTCTGAGGCAAATTCGTTCCATAAGGGTAAAAAGTCACAAAATCTTTTTTAAAATTTATCTTTAAAACTTCATAATCTTTGGGGATATTTGGATATGCAATCAAAAAGTGTTACGATTTCAAGAATCACATATAGTTAATTATTCGACTAAAAAACTAAGATATTTACAAAACTTTACATTTCATTTTAATAATCAGTTTTCTTACATCAATTCCTTAATTACATACTTCTCCAATTTCTAAAAACATCAAATATTTATGTTTGGTGAAATTTAAAGTTTCTTAATGGTTAAATCGGATCTATTTCCTTTACCCATATTTGGTATAATATTTTTGAAAATGTGTACAAATCTGTATGATCGTATGCTTAAAAATGCAGACTCAATCAATGTTGGATCGTCTTTCTGATCTTCAAGTAAAGGTATTGAACTTCTCGTCTTCAAGATTCAAATCGTCTTCAAAATAAAAAAAAAATATATTATATAATTACTTACAATTAAATCGATCATGAAATCACAGGAAAGGATGTGGCTTGAAGCTAATAAAGCTTTGCAGAATAAGGTATAAGAACATCCATGGATGAAAGTATTTACTATTTAATCATAATATAATCTAGAAACAATTGTTAGAGGAAAATAAGTAAATTTTTTTTTTTTTGTTCTTGTAGTTGGAAGAATTTTATGCAGAAAACCAAGCAGGGCCTTCATGGGCAGGAGGAGAAAATGGTAATTCATTTGCGCAACATCATCAACATCACCAGGATCAGCATCCTCAACCTCAGGGCTTCTTTCAGCCTCTAGACTGCAACTCTAATTTGCAAATGGGGTATTAATTCTTGACATCAAAATTACTAATTTGCCCAGTTTCCGATAAATTGAAATTAGATGTTTTGAGTATTATTTATTAAAAGTTTAGAAATTAAAAGGGTTAAACGCATAAATAACAAACCTATTCTCATTAAAAAAATTTAATTATACTATTCTTTTTAGTAATTCTATCCAATCGTATCGATATCAATAAATCAACCTAAATAAAAAAGCATTCAAAAACCAGATGTTAAGATTATATTTGTCCTACTGAGAAAAAAAATACAACGCTAGAAATTAGAATGTTGTAATAGAAAAATAAAAGTAGATGTTATAATACATAAGTAAATAATAAACATGATACTTTTATTTAGCATTTAGACTTTTGTTAAAATGAGAACTTGATGATAAAAGATATAACTAGTAAACAAATTAAATCGGAAATGAAATCGATTATGTTGTCACCTCATCTTTGATCTTTGATGATATATATATATATATATATATATATATATATATATATATATATATATA